GACATTTTTTGATCAGCCGTCTACGTTAATAGAAGGCAGAGTTTGGACATCTGTGTAGACTAGCTGAGATTTGCTCAACTTACATATGTTAGTTATACAGAGCAACATCCTTCCGAGCAGGATGGCTCTCCACTTTAGACATCTGGGGCTTGTCTTTACAGTCACGGGAAACATCTCAAGTGGTAGGTGTTTTTTCTTAATATGGTACTTGCTTTCAACCATGTGAGGAAAGATGTCTTGGATACAAAACTGTGGACTAGGTTGTGAGAGCAGACAATTTTTAGAGCACTCTTTTAGCTCATTTCACTTTCCAGGAGAAATGTAGTTAATCCTCTAGCCTGTCACAAAGATCTGTGCGATTATCAAATTAATTGTCTGGCAACTAGTTTGGGGCCACCCACATTTCTTGCTTCACTGTATTTTAATCATTAGAAGCAGCACTATGAGCTGCAGTGAATCCTTACATGTGAAAGCCTCACAGTGACAAAGGCTTATGCAAGAATTAACCTTACACTTGCATGTGTTGTGTGAATACATTTTATTCATTGACAGGAAATGACTAGCACAATTAGCGCTATACAGCATGACCATCCACAGGAACTCCTTGGCAGCATACCCAGTTTTAAAGGACTTGTGTTTGCGGTGTGACTGGCACCAGGTAGCAACCCACAGTGTCACTCTTACTATTACTTGGCCCTCCAGACTGCCTAGACTTTCCAGTCTTTTGCATGCTAGAGTTGTCCGCTCTGACAATGCCACTTGTATTTTAGTTACTTGTGAGTGTTTGATGTAGGACTGTCGTAGTAGCTAACACTAAATGTGAAGAGTTGTAATGCAGCTTAAGATAGGATCTGGAGCTGGCACAGAGACAACCCTTGCAGGCTGTAAGCTGTAAGGTAAAGCTATGACTGCCCTGGATTACTCTACTGTCTACCTCCTGTGTTCCACTAGGTATTGTGAAAGCTATCATTCGCAGAATACATGCAGTACATATTACTGGTTTAACTTGCTAGGTGAAGAATTTTTCAAGTGAATAAATTACGAATTTTTTACAGTTTTGATGATTTATAAAATCATCGATGTCAGGACTTGTTTAAAAATCAGGTTTGAACCGTGAAATGTTTTGCAATTTAGAGGGAGCCTTCAAATGTGGATGTAGTTCGTCCGGTACAGAAAGCTGCCATGGATATAAGAGTAACCATTCTAGAATAATTCTCTGCAAAAATATTTTAACACTGTTACAAAGATGATGTATATGCCAGGTGAGAAGCAGTTTTCTGGTATTAGGAGGTGTAGCAGCAATATTTAATGCTGCTTTGACATGAGCTGAGCGTAATACATCTTTGAAGTAAATCTTACTTCCAGCTGTCTTCTAAAAACTGCTCACAAGTTCTTTGGCTTCTTAACTAGTGATTATTTATTAGAATAGACTGTAATTTATTTTTCCATTAATCAAAACAAATAGCCTGACTTTGAATGCAAAAGAAGGTCTGACTTTAAATTCAATTGTTTTTAGATCCATTTATGAATTTTAAAAAAAAAAGTAATTGAGTAGGTGGAAGTCTCGGTTTGTTCCTTAAAATGAATGAAGCACTGCCTTCAGCTCTTACGATCATGATTTCAGAGGTGGAAAAAGACATCTTAGAAAAGTAAACCAAATTGAATAGTTTGAGAGCCTCTGTCAGAGTTAATCCAAATGTCTGTCATCTTCTGTACGCAGTGTGGAAGAAAGATATCAAAGCTGCTTTTGGCAAAGCCTGTGGCCGTAGTTTGAGGAAGACCTTACCTCTGCCAGAGAATTGACATTGATCTTCTCTAGAAATCTTAGTTCAGTTGTTTGATTTCATGTCAGGAAGACATTCACTCTCATAGCAAAATATGTGCTAAACTTGTTAGCTTATGTAGTTTGGACACAGCCAGTTAATCATACTAGTAGTACTTTTTATAGGTAGTCTTAAATGAATCACAGTTTTAACAGGGTAACTTTAATGCTCAAATGCTGACAGTTTTGTGAATAATGCATGACCAGGAATTAACACTTAAAAAGTGAAGTACTTGGGTTCAGTTACGTCCACAGCTGTTATGAAATGTCTGACAAAACAGTATCAATGGGAGTTTTGAGGAGATCTGAAAGTGGCTCTCTCCAGAGCATGCTTGTGATTCTTTTTTTTTTTTAATTAAAATAAACTGGGAAATTTGCTAAAGCTGTTAAAAAGCAATCTTGTTGATATACAGCTATTTTCCTTTCTTATTCCAAGTCTGACATTGCGCTCATAATTTATTAGATGTTTGAAGCATGAAATACTGTTTTGATTAGTTAAGTTTGCTAAGATTGCTTACTGAGTGACTAGGGACTGGTGTGAGTTTTATCTTGAGGAAACAAAGCATACTCTATATTTTAAGTCTGATTGCTTTGAAACCTGAAATTACTGACACTCTGTGAAACCTGAAATTACTGGCACTGTGTAGAACACAAACCGTGCACTGATTTAGGTGAAACAGCTAAAATGTTGTTCAGTTCCTCAGTCCATCTGTAGTGCAGTCTAAAGGCATCTGGATGTTCACTTGCTAATTGTGTACTGCTGTTGATGTGACTGATGAAAGTTAGATTAACAGTATGCCCAGGGCAGGCTTGATGCCTGTATACTTACTGGGTCCTGAATGAGTTGAAGGTATTGTTAGAAGTTGCCACAGTTTGTACTCATGCTATAGATGATATAAAAATGCTTTAATAAGATGAAGCAAGCTTTAGTTAGTACATCTGTCAAGTCTGAAGAAGTTCATTGAAGAATTCACAAACTGCAAGGGGATTCCAATGTCTTTTGACACCTCTGTGCTTCCTCCTTCTGGTCTGCCTGTTGTGACAGTCTTGGGGTCCTCTGTACCAAACAAGGAAACTAGTCTTGGCTGCTGGTTTGTCCCATCACGTTGCACAACTCCTTCAGGGAAAAAAAAAAATCACATATATTCTGGCACTTACTTCCAGACTCTTATGCTTCCTATATTTAAAAATAAGATTACTGTCTGAAGATTTATATTTTTCTTCTACCCATCTTTTATGAAGGTCTTCCAGTGGAGCAATGTTCTTCATCCTGAATGAGAGGAACAGGCTTTGAACTTACAATATACATATCCAAAAAGTATCCATTTCTCCCAGGAATTTTATTTGTTTTATAGAGCTACTAGTAAGATAGATATTACCTTCTAGTTTTCATGCAGACCAGTTGCTAAATAATTGTGATGCATTGAATGTCCTCTATTTAACTTGCTTCTTTTGAAAGCTTTCCCAAGAACCTACCCTCTGTTTTAGCTTCCAGTGCTTAATAAAAAACAGTATTTTGTCGATTTGTGGTGCTAAACAGAGAACCACCTTCTCTCCCCCTCTGCACTGCTGCCGCTGCTGCTACCATCAATGTGGTATCTGTATATCAATGGCATTTAGGTACTTGCTGAGCTCATATGTTATACTGCTTGTAACAGATAAAGAGAGGTGCCTCGCTTAAAACAGATTAATCCAGAAACTTGCTAGTAACTTCCAGTATTTCCTAGTTCTTTGTGGATGTATCTTTTTAAGGCAATGTATTGTTTCCTTGAAACATGGAATTACACAGGTCAACTGGTAAAAACAGTTGCATCTAAAGTCATTGGACATTTTAAAACATTTCTGTATTTTAGCTTGGTTGGTCAATTTGTTTTTTTAACAAGACCTGGTCATTGAAGAACATACAAATTGATACATTGATGTTTTATCTTAATTTGGGAAAAATTATATAGATTCTTGTTACCCTAGAGAAACCACTTGAAGTCCATGCTCATCTAATACTTTTCTCTAGTTTATCATTGTTAGCCTAGTTTGTTCTTTCTTCTCTTACTTATCTGCCCATGTTATCTGTATTGTATGATTTTATAAAATCATAGAATCAGTTAGGTTGGAAAAGACCTTTAAGATTATCGAGTCCAACCTTAAACCTGACACTGCCAAGTCCACCACTAAACCATACCCCTAAGCACCACATCTATACGTCTTTTAAATATTTCCAGGCATGGTGACTCAACCACTTCCCTGGGCAGCCTGTTCTAGTGCTTGACAACCTTTTCCATGAAGAAATATTTCCTAATATCCAATCTAAACCTCCCCTTGCGCAACTCGAGGCCATTTCCTCTCATCCTATCACTTGAGACTTGGGAGAAGAGACTGACACCCACCTGGCTACAATCTCCTGTCAGGTAGTTGTAGAGAGCGATAAGGTCTCCCCTGAGCTGCTCTAGACCCTTCACCAGCTTCGTTGCTCTTCTTTGGACACGCTCCAGCAGCTCAACTTGCTGTTCTGTCCCTCCTTATGCACTGTATTAAAACCGTAGTAATTCTTGGCATATAATTTTGAAGTCTGTATGCAAATGTGGGGGGAGATGAGCTTTCAGTCTGCCTTTTTCTCTATGGAAGAGAGGGTGTTGGTGGCAACTGGTTGCATTCTGAATGTTTAGTTAGTAAGAGGTGCATGTATTTAGCTGTTAGGACCATATGTCCTGATAGACTGTCCAAACAGTTGTTCATGATTTCCTATATAGAAGAGGTGGCAGCCATGAATATAGTCGAGGAGAATATGTTTACAGTGTACTGAGTAGATGACTTCACAGATTAGTAATTGAAAGAGTTCACACTAACAGTAAATTAGCACTGAAGTTCTGAGCTAATGATCTCGAATTGTCCAGCTTGAGATACCCTAAAGGCACATGATCTGTCCCCCACCCCGTTCTGCTTTTAAAATAAGGTCAGTGAAACATTGGTGGTTATAGCTGACATTTAATAAATAAATAAATAAATAAGACCTGAAATGGCTAATGACCACCTTTTTGCCACTGTCAAGAGCTTCAGGTTTTTCTCCTGTCGAATACCAAATAAGGAACTTTTTTTTTTTTGTAATTTCTGCTGTTTAGAGCAGGCTTCAATAATAATACATTCTATTAAGACACTTCCGTTTTTTTCCTTCTCAATTTAGAATGACTTTTCCCATAGTGACTGCGTGTCAAATAACGAGACCAGTTTGCTAGAACGAACCACAGCACCTCATGATGGACTACCAATGGCTTCCCATAGACCTCAGCGAGAAGGTATGTTGTCTGAGGTTTCTTTTGAGGAACACTTTAAGGTTTTTTTTAAATGCTAAACTCTGCCTGGAGTTGTAGAAGTCTTGCATCTGTCTTGCTGCTCATCTGAACGAGAAACTGCAATGATTGGTAAGTATAATAGCTTCTTTGCTGCCTGCTTGGTCTTTTCTTTATTTTAACAAGTTGTCATTTTTCTTAGCTGCTAACTACTAGTGACTGCACGCACAAAAATTGATTGCAAATGGGCTTCCTCCTGAAAAAAGAGGTGGGATTTAGGAGAAAACAAGAAAATTTAATGCAATTGTATTAACAGTGTTCAGATTTGCTTTTTTTTGAGCAAAACTAAACATGAAGATACTGTGAAACAGTGGAGAGCTTTTGCTACTTGATTGTAGTTGTATTTGATTAGTCTTAAAAACAAACAAAGAAAGAAAAAACACGTATTAGGAGGTTTTGTAGAAGTGGTAGTTTGGAGAAATGAGAGGCTTTCCATAGTTGTCTTTTCTGTAGAAGTAAGTCGTCTTTTGGCTCTGTTGGGGAGGATGAGAACAAGCTTCAGAGCGTAAACAGAACTCTTCTGTGCAATTGCCAGCACAGTTTCTTCTCTTTGAAGAAATGAGCATTATTGAAAACATGTTTATTCTTACCCTTTATTCTCCAACAAGATTAGCGAATCACTTGTCTGCTCAAAATTAGTCTACTCTGTCCTGCAGATAGTGAAGAGCTGGCAATCTGGGAAAACTATTGCTATTCCTTTTGTCCTCATAAATGTCCTTTTGTCTCTACTGTGGAGATTTAATTACACTTTGAAGGCAGGCAATTTGAGAGTTTTAATTCCATGAAAAAAAACCACAGAAAGATTATGGCAGATTACAGACAACAAACCTGTTTCAAACCCTTTTACAGGGTTCAAAGTGTTCATATTCACAAATTAGAAACACAAAAGAGAGACTCCCTTTAGCAATGCTCTTGAATTAAGTAACAGAAGCACAGAAAAGTTGAATAATTGAATCTAGCGAAGAGCTTAAATATTTCTCAGCATTTGTATTATCATAGTTAGAAACTACTGTGAAGGATCAGAATGGTTTTGTGATATTTGCTGTATAGATAATGTGATAGAAAGGGAGTCCCCGCTACAGAAATCTCCTTATTGGGTTAGAAATAGCACTGATAGTAAAACTTTTTTTTTTTTTTAATCTCAGCTGTGATGATACGATTTTTAGAAATCTTAACTTATACTTAACAATGGAAGTGTATATATGCTTAATCGTCCTGAATGCATGTGTTGTGTCCAAAATAAATGTAGAGGTGTAACACGCCTCATTGGCTTGTATATTCAGACATTTCTTCTCGGTCTAGCCATTTAGAATATTTAAAATGGGATTGTGGAAACAGAATTTTAAAGCGGTCTATTGAAACTGTGGAACTAAAGCTGTGCAGCAACAACATTGTAATTACCTGTTGTATCACTTACTACAATGAAGCATGCAACAGCAACAAAAAGAAGTTAAGAAAGCTGAAGGTACTACCTTGTGTGATAAAGTTTCTTTATACTTGAGGACAAATATATTTAGCATTGAGAATATTCAATAGTTTAAAATAAACACAATCTCATTAGAAAAGAAGCTTGTCTGTGAATGTTAATGGTGTTTCCATAATTATGTATGCTAAATATATGCATGTACTGAAATGCTTTTTAAACCGCTATTCTCAGTTCCTTAAAAAGGAATCAACTTTTTAATTAACTTATGAATATCAATCCAGCTGGTGGTATCAATTTTAACATTGGCCATTAAGAAACTTTACTGCACCAAGTTATGCCATAGTCTTTTTTCTAATAGTGCTTTTATCCATACCAGACAGGTAAAAATTGAAGTCACCAAACATTCGGCTTTTCACAGTATATAAATGTATGTTATTGTCTGGCATCCTTAGCTCATCTCAGATTTCTTTGCTTTGTAATAATTAATCTTCATTAACTGATAAGAATGAACTGATTGTCTAGCGCTCTAACTCCCAGGTAGAGGGTTACAACCAGCGTACACCAGTATTTGTCAGTCTTTCTACTAAAAGAATTAGAAGCTGTAACCCTATCACTAGGCTTATGTGCTGGCTTATTATTCCTTTAAGGAAATTGCTGATACTTCGTTCTCTTGGAACTGGAATGTTTGATGGGGATGATACTTTAACTGTAACTTTAACAAAATTCATTAAAGATGTTTAAGTTAGATGAAATGGTAATTAGCTGATCTCCAAGAATAAGCTTTGTAACATACACTTGCAAGAGGTTGATTTTTTTTAATTTTTTTTTTTTAATTGTTATGCATAGTTCCCAATATATCCCATGTAAACATGCAGTTAAAAGTTGAAAAGCAAACGTTAGCTGGTAACACCACCCTCCTCCCTCTTCCCCCCCAAAAAAGAAAAAGTTTCAAAAGCTTTGAAAGGAAGCATTGATGGTGTAGGGCTGGTCAAACTTTTTTTTAAATAAAATTTTTTACATGTAAAGATGTGTTCATGCTTGTAAAGGGATAAAATTCTGTTGAATTCTTAGGCCAGCATAGCAGGAAAAGTGAAAAGCCCAGCTCGGCTACATGAGGATTTTTATATAGGGTATTACCTGCACGATGTTATGTGCCCTCAAGAAGATCTCCAGACCCTGAAAGTCATACAGTGCTGCTTCTTAGCAAGTCATAGCCAGAACTTGCCTATTCCTGAATACAGTAGACTATGCGGAAGGAATGTTAAAGTAGCAAGTACTTTAAAGTACCTTTCTTCCTTTTCAGTTCAATTTAGTGATACTCTTTACAGTACGATTGTAGTAGCCTTCTGCTTCTCCTCTTCATTTTCTGTTTGCTAACACTCATTTCTGTCTCCTTCAGGCCTTCCCCAAGTGTTTTCTTTCACCTAAGTGCCTTTCAGAAACGTGGTTCCTCTGCCTTAGTTTGCTCTCATTACTACTTGATGTTTCAGAAACGAGGATGTGGAAGGCACTGTTACTGGATTTTATCAGCAGTTGTTAACTTCTTGGAGCCAAGACACAATTTGACTTCCTTTCATTGTCTTTTCACTTACAGCAGTTATATTGTTGTATTTATGTGACTTTCAGTCTAAATAAGCTCTTGGGTAATGCACGGATTCCCATGATCTGCAATGAAGGTGGTGTGGTCAGGCCAGAGAAATACTTTGTAGAGAACAAGGCGCCACCTGCCCCCTGCAGTTTGTTATAGTAAAATAGCATCTGAGAAAGAGTGGGGTTGTGGGAATCAGTAAATAGCATACAGTGATTCTCAGAGTGGCTAGGTAAGTAGATATATTTTCAAACTGTAATTTTGGCGTGTACAGTAAGGTGTTTTTCTTTCAGCTGTACACATTGAGAAGATAACCCTGAAAGGAGTACCAAGAAAAAGGGCTGACAAACATTTGGAGTACACATTCAAAGTAAGCAAATAACCTCCAGAATATTAAAGTAAATGTCTTTATGATATCTATGTACTGTAGATATATACAGCTTGTTTCAAATACCTGCTCAGAAGGCAATTTGAATTACATCAGGGTCTTCAGAGATTCTTGGAATTATCCTGTAATTCTCTTGGATTCTGTGTGGAGATCAGGTGTTTTATGTAATTGTGGGCATAAGGTGGGAAGGTGTGTGATATCACTTCAGGAAACTTGGCTTTTGCTAATTTGGGGTAAGCATTACAAAGAATTCTGAAACTAGTTGATTGTTTGCATAGGAGTGCAGTTCTTGTGTCTGCAGTTATATATTGCTTGGAGTCATATGGTCATCTTGGCTCTCTTTCATGAGTGTTTACCATAAGAGTTCCTGTGGGTTTTGACAAAACTGGGGGTTGGTTTGTTTGTTTGTTTGTTCAGGATTTGTTTTGTTTGTTAAGGTAAAAACAAACAAGCTAAAAAATGTCAACAAGCTTGAAGGCCTACCTAGTATAGTCTTCATGTATTATAATAGCCAGAGGCAACATATAAAACAATTATGTGAGTGAATTTTAAACAAAACTGAAACACTGCTTCTTACTACTTTGGAAAAGAAGCTTTCAGTATTGAGGTCTAGTATTAAAGGCTGTAGGTGTTAAGTAATAGCTGCTAAGGCTGTTGGTGGTGATCTTCTAATTGAACCAAAGTAGTAATTTTCTTAGCAAGGACTGACTAACATTATGAGTCATTTGGACAATAGATTTGAGTCTAGTAGCATACCAGATTTGAACATAGAGTTAAATTTTACCTTTTTTCCTCAAACAAAAGAATGTTTTAGATCAAACATTATAACTGGCCATTTGACATGGGTCATGGGAGCTCTTTGAAGAGGCAAACTTAAAAAAAATGCCATTTTGAGCTGAAAACTGATGTGTTGATCCCAGAATTTGATATTGTATTCTCTAAATAGATGTGAATTATGGAGTTTTGTCTTTGCTGATATTACTAGAAGCTTAAAAATAGAGTTAAATTGACATGTATACTCTTTCTGTTTTTGAAATAAAGTAGTGGCAACAGATAACTTCTTGATCATGTCTGAGGTGAAATTTGCAAAAAATTCTGCACCCTTCTTTTGCTGAGGACAGTAATGTGGGATTTAGCCTTCAAAGTCTTAAAGGTTAACTTGCCCAAGTATTTCAACCTTGTCATAGATCTTTTGTCTGAATAGTCTGTGAACTGAGTACTAGGTAAAATACAATAGTAGATAGGAGAGGTTTGTACAGAATGCCCATACAGATTATTAAATATTTAAAGTCACAAAACTATTTTGAAAATTCAGCACGTAGATGGATTTGACAGTGGTTTTGAATTTCTTTGTTAAAGGGGGAATGTGGAGATATTCTGGGAAGTATTTGAGTAAGCTTGAAACTCCTCCACCTCAGTTCTTTTAGGAAAGAGTTTCCTCTCCTCATCTGTGCAGGTATATACTGTGCTCCTCACTGCAGATCATTTTGTGCTTGCCCAGACACTGCTTTTTTAGGGTTATAACAGCAATTACAGTCATTCCCAACTTGGCTTCCCAACTGAGGGCACCAAGAGTAGTTGGCATTTCTGGGGACTGAGTTGAAGGCAGTTGGTGGTTGACATTAGCCCATCAACTCTTCAGAGTAGATGAATATTTATAATTGCCATGTCCACTCCCATTACACAGAATCTTCCCATGCATGTAATGGGAATCTTAAGCCCAGAAGTGGGCTTAAAGCCAGGCAGCACTCATCTAACCAAGCTTCCTTCTTTTTTTCTCAAAATATGCATGTGAAGGTGCTGTTTTACTACTTGCATGTTGTGTCAGAACAATAAGCTACTGCAATTTTATACAAGCATATAGCAAAATGCTTTCTGATTCTTGAGTAACTTCTTCAGTAACTTGCAGTACTTTCTATGAATTATACCCTGCAAAAAGTTCTATATGTAAGACTCAAGCCTGAGGCAGATATAATTATTTTATGGGTAATATAAAAAAAGGGATTTTTTTTTTCTTTTTTGTGTTGACTCATGATAATGGCAGTGAGAGCTCAATCCGGTATATCTGACCTACTGTCCTTTTCTCTGGTACATGGTTTTTGCAGTTAATGATGTCTTTTTGATACAAGTCTTGTAATTACAGAGCCTTCTGCCTAGCTTCTTTCTGAGTCAGTAAGCCAGTAATCTTCAGGGACTTCATTGCATTCACCTGAATTTGTTCATACTCTCTTTAGCCACAAATAACATGAAGGTGATCTTAAAATGTACGCTCAAAATTAGTATACGTCTTTGAAAAGGTACACCATTATCCCTGTTTTGCCTGGTATTTACTTATCTGCAAGTGTTAACTCTTATACTGAGATCATCAGATTTATGGAAATGTTAAGATCAGCTAACTGGTATGATACTTGGAAAATGAAACTTTCCTCATTCTCTTTTCCTTCCTTACTAGGTAACCTGGTCCGATCTTTCGGTAACATGTGTAACAAAAACACACCAGGAGCTTCAGGAATTCCTGCTAAAAGTATGTATTGAAATATAAAAGTAATGTTTACACATCAGGTTTATAACTTCAGAAGTAGTCTAGGAAAGCTGTGATTTCTGGGATATAATTACAGAAACAAAAGCATGCTACCACATTTTTTTACTTCACAATTGTATTAACTATTTAAATAATACGTATTGTGGTAGAGCAGCTTGACAGATGAAGAAGCTCAACAGAATGTTGAAACAGGGAGTTTCCCAGGAGGAGATCATTTGTCTCACCTGAAATTGCTCTTATAGTTGTAATTGAACTATGTGAAACTACCAGATGGGTTTTTAATATTCCCCACAGAGTTAATGTATAGGTACAAGCTCTGCCTGTTGCTTATTGGTGTCCCTGATAGAATGACCTTGAGAGTATCATTTGTTTTTTCTAATTAATGAGGCAGAGCCGTGAGCATAATAGTTCTTAATTTTACTGTTGTATTCTTCAGTAGAACAAAGGCAGGCATATTTGTTGCAAGGAGTTAAATTTGAGAAAATCTAGCAACTATTTGTGCGTGCGTACGTTTAAAAAAAGTAAAAGTCTCTAAGTTGTTCTCCCCACCACCCCAAGCAGGGAATGCATTTGTGTGCGTAGGCCACGTGTAGACCTTGTGAGTGTGATGACCTCGAACTGTGTTCCATTCCCAGTGTCTAATGTTTGGGTTCCACCTATTCTGGGAAATTCTGTATTTAAACTCCTCACTGTTCAGGGCACTAAAGAAAGATCTGTTTTGGGCATGTTTTGATAGCATCAAAACAGTGTTCTTAGCTGCAGTGTTAATTGCAAGTGGAAAGCCAGTTACTGTACAAAGGTCTTGTTCACTGTTTCACTTATCAACATTAGGTTTTCTAGTAGTGCAGAAATGAAGCCGTGAGTATTCACTGCTGCTTTAATCTAGTTGGAATATCAAGTTCCAAGAGTTCCCAGAGCTTGATTTGTGAGGGTTTGAATTATGGATGGCACATTTGGTTGCGGATGGGGTGTCCCACAACATAGAGTACATGCATTTGCTCCTGAAGAGAACCTTAAAAGCAGGACTGTCATATGGGATCCTGTGCAGCTCTGGGATGAGTGTTCAACTGCATGCCTCCTGTTCTCCGACCTGTAAAGTAAAGACGAACACCAGTTTCTGAAATGGACCCTCAAGTACCTACTTGCTGCCAGGAGGAGGAGCTAGGCAAACAGACAGGATCCAAAATGTTGCGGAGCTGTCCAGTTTGACTGATGGCAGCTCTTCAGATGTGCAGTGTTGCATGTGCTGGCTTGGCTGCTCCAGCAGAGTCTAGATATATAGAAGATGGCAGGACAAGAGGAAGACAACCACAGGCTGCTATGAGCTTGCTGAGGTGTTTGGTGGAGAATGTGCACAGCTCATATATAAAAAAAAAATATATTTGGTTTGTGTTGGTTTGATAGCCGTAAGTAGAGAAGAAAGAGAGAATTGTTAAATAAAGCAAGATAAAACCTATACCTTGCTTTAAAAAGCACTGTAGAAGTACAAATGCTGTCCAGTTCATACGCACTTACATTTTGGCTTTTTGTTGTTCTTATTTCCAGTCTGCATGGCATTGTTAAGTAGTACGCTCAATTTCCTAGGGAGAGAAAAGAATGGTCAAAATACTTGACAGGAAATTCCAAGGTTGTGGGCGATAGCAGTAAGATAGCCATAAAAATTATTTCGGAATAGAAGCATCGGTGGGAAAAACTAAGGTAGTAAATGGGATAACTTGGATGCCTTATATTTAAAGAGCACCTTCTCTAATGCGATAAGCATAAAAAGTTCTTTGCATATAGGAAATTACCCGCATATGTGGAAGGACTAACAAACTTGTAGTAATGAGGCTATCTCATTACCTGAAGGTAAGATAGTAAGCACTTAATCTTGGGTTCGTATAACTCTTAATCTTTAACTACAGAAGGAATTTAATTCCTTTTAATGAAAGTTTCTGGAGACAAATTTATACACAAAACACCAGGACAAGAGGTTTGCTCATCCCCATGCTTCTGCAGTAGCCTTTTGGTACCTTTTGGTTCATACTGACGAATTCTTCAGTCAGAGTTCCTCAATAGCACATATTAAAGCTAAAGGGGTCAGTTAAGAAAAGCTGCTTTCAGCGCTTCTTTCTGTTTTTATATCTAATACGCTTCAGGTGCTGTAGCACTGTAGTAATCTAATACTAACAGCACCTGTCTGTCTGGAGCCTGTCTGTCCAGAAGTTCCTTTTATGTATGTTACCAAGCAATTATCTACATTAGACATAGTGTCTCTGTATTAGTAGCACTTCATTCAGTGAAAGAATTACTTAGTGCTTTGCTGTTGTACCGCTAGCAGGATGTAACGTCCAGCTGGCACTCTGGATTGGGTGTATTCCAGATATGTGAGAGGGAGATGTTGCTCTAGTGTAAATTACTTAGTGCTGTTGATCATAATTGATGGCAGATGTTAACCAGATTAGCAACAGCTTTTAACTTTAGGAAAAAGCATTTTTGCTATGGGAGTTTACTTTTAATTGCCCCAGAATTAAAAGATTTTTTTTTTTAAATATATATTAATGAATTTGATCAGCTTTCATGTACTTAAGCATATTATTTTGGAAGTGGTAAATGTGAAAAATCTTTGTTCTAGGGAATATTTTTCATTCAAAATAGACATGCTCTTTAGATGCAAGAATTTTGCCTTCTGGACTAGAACATCAGATGATCTCACTTTGTAATACCGGCATTGGAAACACTTATAATGAATTTTCATAAGAAGTTTCAGTGTTAATAGCAACTGGAGAAGTACTTGCTATTGATTAATCTCAGTATTGCCCACTGAAGTCTAGTATATTATATAACTGAAACAGCCTCCCTTCTACCCCTGTTTCCTTAAAATAATTTAGTCTAGCTAAGTGGTGAGAGTGAGTACACTGCATTCTGTCCTCCCTGGTAATTTTTTTATGTTATTTTCAGACCTACTTTCTGTGTGTGAAAAGTTTAAAGAAATAAATCAAAAAAGGCTGTAAATTACTCTGGAAAAGAGCATAATATTGGTAAATTTCTGAATGTAGTTCTTTCAAATAGAGCTTTAAACCGTCTTACACTTGGATTTGATGTGAGGCTTTACAGCAAGGTGTTTCTCTAGCAAAACTAAATTATGATGATTTGTTGTACCTTCAGTCTGTAAATTACCTTACTCAAACTGGAACAACAGAGTTTCTTGTTGATATCAGAAGATATAAAGCCTGATGGTGAACAAATACAGTCTTTAAAATGTCAGCTACTCATTTTTTAACGTTAATCTTTTTCTCAGCTCCCAAAGGAACTGTCTTCTGAAGCATTTGACAAGACTATTTTAAGAGCACTAAATCAGGGTTTTCAGAAGAGGGAAGAACGAAGGCATGCTGATCTTGAGCCCATAATCAGGTAAGTATTTTAGCAAATAAACTGAAATGAATCACCTGAAAAGCGATTGAAGTCAAACTAGATGACTTTTAGGGACAGTGAAAATTCTGCTGCCTAAGCGCAATTTGTGAAGAAAATGGGAAGGCAGTGATGAAATAGATACCCTTAACTCTTTTTTTTTTTTTCCTTTAAATTGAGACTTCTATTAAATTTTAATGGATTACATCTTTAGAAGTAATCACACAGTTATGAAAATATTTGTCCTGAGCAGCATTGTACAGCAATGATTGGCACTTCAGCGAGGGTCTTACCTCTGTCATACAAGGGTATACTTAGAAATATTAGAAACAGTAACTCAAAGCGCTTATGTTGTAGTTTTATGACAGGATAGAGTGAGAGACAGAGCAGAATTTGGAAAAGAATAAACAGTAATAGTGAAGCATGTATATAAAATTAAATGTAGCTCACACATTTGTAAGAAAATGGCCCATACCTCATAACCTACTATCTAGCAATGAGGGTGCTTGCTGGGATGTGGGACATGTTGGTCAAATCCTGTAACTCAGAACAGCAACATGAATTTGGGTAGACCTCCCTGTTCTTTTTGTTTGTTACAGATACCTTGTTCCATTTGTTCTTTCACCTCAGGGTTGCTCAACCTTGTTCAAAACAATTTAAATTATTCATCAGGTTAGGTCTCTTGAGTTAGGGTACTTGTTGAAGGATCAGGCACTGCTTTTCAAGCTCCTGCTCAGAATATACTGCGGGTCCAAGCATATCGGATCTTTGCGTTTTGTGTTAATAGCTTAGCTATGGAAGAAACGGAGCTGCTGTGTGACTCAACCTCCCCCTTCCCAATTTTCTTTTATTTTGATATGTAATATTATTTGTCTGTCTCTATTGGCTTGATTGTCAAGCCAAAAACTAAATCTGTGTGAACAATTTTTGGCTAATAAACATTCTGGTTTTAAATGAATAAACTTGTTAAATGAAGAGAACGTATCTAATACAGAAAGGTTGTGAAGCCTCACTGTATTACAAATTACATACAAATTACAAATATTGTAATTACAAACCTGAGAGATTCAGTTTAAGGATAACCTTTAAACATATCCAACCATGTTATAGTATGGAACTATAATTACAATTTGCAAGCTAAGTTGTGATTATACTGGAATGCTACATGAATAATCTCGTGATAGTAGCATTACTGTATACATATTTTGTTTTCTTACAGTATCAGTTTAGCATAAATAAATATTTATTTGGGGTCTTAAGTATGTGCCCAGTTGCCAAAAATTGCTCTCCCCGGTCCCCACTCCAAAAAAATAGAACTGGGTAGTGCTTCCTGGCAAGCAATTACTGGAAACTTGGTGTAGGATGTAAAAACCATTCATTCTTGGGCTGTTTTCTTATCTGAAGCTAATAGAAGTTGTCACTGACCTCTTGCGAACAGACTCAGACCAGTGCAGGCCAGTATTGAAAATCCCACCCTTTGCTCTTGGAGATAATTATGAAACTCAAATACTGACATTATAGGTGAATTCAACTTGGTATTTAACCAAGTAAATGTATTTAAGGAACAAGTACATTGTTTTGGGAAATTAAATGTTTAAATTTTAAGTCCAGTGCTTTTTTGACTCAGTCCAAACTCCTCTTTGATAAAATGTTACAGGTGGCTAAAATGTTTGAACTGGGATGGCTCAAAAGCACATACCTTTTAAATTAAAAAAATTCATCATACCAATTTCTTGTACTGGCAGTACTCCAACCTGACACTAGCACTGAACAACAAAAGCTCAAAAGGAGCATTTAACATTGTTTATGCTGAATGTGCAAGTTCAAGTGTTTGGACTTCTTAAGAACTGCCTACTTCGCTCTTAAATGGTACTGTAGTAAATTTTTGTATTCTTCCTATGGAATATTACTTGCAGTTTAACAAACTCTCACTTAAATTTCAGGCAGCTATTTTCAAATACATCGCAAGCTTTTCTGCAGAATCAGAGAGTATACAACTTCTTCCAATCAATTTCATCAGAATCTTTGCACACTCACAGTAAGGAATATCCTAATACTGTTTTATATAACAAAAAGTCTATGAAAGCTATTCTTCCTGTCATGCCTAATTATGTTTTTATAATTATATATTCATGTTACAGTGTATTACACTCCCTGCCAATGAATAGTGCCTTCAACAGATACTCGTGCTTTTGACAGTGGGAACATGCTATGTAGCATCAGCTTGTGTTCTTTTCTTTCTTTCTTCTCCTCTGTACCATCATGCTGTTAAAATAGGTAGTTATGAATTGAGTATGTGCAACAGTTTGGGACTTTTTCCTTTTAAGAAATCTTAAACTTTGGAACAAAAAGCTTGAGCTGACCCAAAAAATCACATCTGGTTTTTATTTGGTTTCTTTTGGAGATGAAGCATTTGTCTTGATATTTAAACTAAGATTCATTTTGGGTAGTACATAGTACATAAATAGTGGGATGGTCCTAATTTCAGAACATACGGAGTCTTGTTCAAAGCATTTGCATTGCAGAGATTTCCTTGGTGGACCTCTTGCCTACTTGGGTATTACAAATTGTTTGTGCAACCTAAGCTTAGCTTTTCTGTATGGATGCCTTAGGATATGGTCTTTGTTTCTGTTGAACTTTTTCTTCTTTCAGTGCATGTTATACAGTATGACAGTTAAGGCACTGACTGTGAGGCCATTGCCTCAGAAGTTGCAGAAGCCCTTAGTAAGGAACTGAATAAGTTGGAGTTTTCAAACAGACTGCTCATATGCGCTTGGAAGAAAATAGAGGCATGACGGCTGACTTTAATTTGAAATGATGGGTGTGATTTGTGACAAATGTATTCTTTCCATGATCAGATAGAGGCTTTGTGATTAGGGTAGAAGCTGTAGGTAATTTTGTGATTCTTTGTTTGTTTGTTTGTTGTTTTTTAGTAACACTTAGGACATTCTTACATGGCAGTTTCATGAAAAAGTTAAGCTAATGAGGTCCAGGGTGGTTGTGAAACTGGCTGGAATTTACTGCTGTGAAAATTCTGACAACTCTGTTGTAATGAAAGGCTGCATGGGGAGGAAAGAGTTTGCAAAGTCCAGAAAGATTCACATTGATGATAGGCGCACTGCGCAGGTTATGCATATTTTAGTCTGTAGACTACATCTAGGTGGGAAAAACCTGCAAATGCATTGTTGTACATGATTGTAATTTGAAACGGTCTGAAAAAGAACCAGTGCCAGGTTCCAGCACGATAGACTTGACTGGGTTAGTGCAGGGCAGAAATGATCTGCAGGGTAGGTAGATCAGAAGGGTAAAACAGACAAATGTCAATTCTGCGGGAAGTCTTACAGATTATAATGTGATCATAAACGGGAGGTAATTTGTATAAAAATAAATAAATAATTGGGTACATGAAAGTTCATGAGGATTTGTCAGTTCTAGAATGCATGACAGATAGGATGAACAACTTGATTGTTTAGCAGAGAGGAGGAAAAATTCCAATGGAAGATGACTTAAGTCTTCAAATACCTGAGAGTCATAATGTAAAGAGGATGATCGGTTCTCTCTGATGGATAAGACAGAAAGCACTGGGCTTAACTTGCTATGAGGAAGATTAGGACCAGGGTCAGGCAAGAATCTGGTGATTACCAGACAAGTCCAAAGCAGTGAGACAGGTCTGAGGTCAAGGCAGAAAAACAAGTCAGTAGATCAGGGTTAAGAACAGGATCAGCGAGGTACGTGACCAGGCATGGGCATGGCTGCAGTGCACCCCAGGCAAGGGCCTGAGCTCAAATGTGGCTCTCAAGCCAAAGGATGGAGGCCCTGGATGAGGCCTCTGCCAGTTCTTTTCCCAGCAGTTTCACCCAAAATTGCCAAACTGCACTGTTTCAGATTGGATCTTGAGCACAGGTGGGTGAAGCCCTTGGGAGCGCAGGGGAAGAGGTTGCAAAGCCCATTGGTGTGGTTCATGGCCCTGACATTGAGTTAGATATTAAGAAAAGGTTTGCTGAAGACAAATTGTGCAATAAATCTAAGCATAGTTGTTTTTTCTTTTGAGAAGGGGGACTGGATGACTTGTCTGGGGTAGCTCACCACAGATGGCCTCTGTGTTTTTCTAGGTTTCCTGTTTGGGATTCCTGACATCCTGCTAATACTTGCAATTGCAAGTTAGCCCGTGGTGGCATATTTTGAATGTGATGACAGTGTGAGGGGAGGGGGGGAAGCGTATCTTTTAAGAAAAATCTCATCATAGTTCTCAAACGGATATGCAGAATTAATTGGCACACAAAGCAGTTGTGGCTTAAATTGGTCTTCAGTTGCTACTTAGAGTTGGGGATAAAAATGTCTCTTCACGGAAATACAAAATTATTCACTCTTTCTGAAAGGTGTGGTTTTAGTAAAACCTATGTGGAAATAAATTCTATGTTCAGTGAAGGGTCCTTATACGTTTAATAATAGTTGGGATCTCACACTGAATAATATATTCAGTAAGTGTAATTATGCCGGCGTGGTTCCATTAAGGAGGAAATCAATTAGGTCCCTCCTGGTTCATAACGTCAGTTATTTTAGACACATTTTCAGGCTAGAGAAGACTTCTGATTCCAACAGACTTTATTTAGAGCATGATCTCTGGGAGCTTGGTATGTTCAATGCAGACAATATTCAGAAGGATTGTCCTATCAATGTTTCAATCTCCTAAGCAACAGCTTTCAGATGCTTTTACCTGCACTAACTTTGAAAGAGTAGACTTCTAGAGGTAGATTCATTACCAAACTTAGTCCTTTTTTAGAGAATGGCAGTGGTATTTTTGCAACAAAACTGTAAATATTATTGCCACTTCTTTTTCCATCCCGTCTGGCATAAAACAGCAAAAATTGTGTGTGAAGACTGTGTTAAGGGCACTAGAAGACTTTACCCAAATTAGGTCTCTTTTGGCAGGTGAATGAGTTGACAATGGAGGAATGTAACTTGTTGTAAAGAATTCTAGTAACTACTGTTGGTCTCCTCCCATTTCCTGCTGTAACACAAAAAAGATTATAAAAAAAATCTGAAGTGCAGGATAATAGGAATATTTTTAATACTATAATTGCAACCCCAACCTTTTGAAATTGCATCATAGCTTTAAAACTGTTTTGCACACTCTTTTCTTCAAAATAAAAGTATCTCCATAGAGCCTTTACTGTTGGAGATGGCCTGCTTTGAAGGAGACGATTTTCAAATTACTGCCACATGCAAACCAGTGACTTCAGTCTTCCATTTCCCTAGCTTCCAGTTTAGTGCAAGCATTCAGGAACTGTCTAGTTGTTCAAGATCTATAAAGTTACTACGTGAACTTTATTCTCTGCAGGTAACTTACAACCCTCTTTGAAGACGGTTAAGGCACCAGAACACTTCAAGGAGGACAGTTCAGAAGCTTCAAGTCAGGAGGAAGGTAGTTGTGTATTCAAAGGTGGTTCTTCTCTGAGAAATTTTACCACACTCAGTTCTGGAAATCATCCAGTTGACTGATTCTTCGTTGGTACAAAGCTGAGAGATTTGAATGGAATCTCCTATGTAAATGAAGAATTTCTGTATACTTTCAGCAGTTTCCTTAGGAGGTTGCTGTATAATCCAAGGAGTGGGAGTGTTCATAGACAGCTCGGAGGCAGAAGTTCACAGCTGTGTTGAGCAACCAGGAAGATACACTTTACAATTTACTTGAGCCAAGATTGTTTGTAGCTTTTCATGTCTTTACCTATTCTTCAGTTACCAGGGTTAGAAGTTGAGTGCAGCATTTAAAAGTTGCAGACTGTGTTACATTAAATGTGCCACATTTGTCTAGCTTCTAGTTTTACACAGAAAGGATGTTCAAGTTTTCCTGTTCTTATTCTTAACCTATGCTGCTTTTATACTCTGGACTGTTAATAAGGACTGTTTGGGACTGTAGTGAGTATTGATTACAGTCTGAAAGCTGGTGTTTTCCAAATACCTCAAAAACAGTTCACATATGGAAGCAGCAGCCTAGTGGCTGGTCAGTAATTTCATTCTGAAAGGAAAGGCAAGCTGGTGTTGCATTGTTTTCAGTAGCAAACAAGTATAAGCTTCTGGTACATGGAAAGGATGAGAAATGGGACTGATAGGTGAACTTGGACTGCTGAACTGACTTACACTAGCTTTCACAGAATGACGGCACTCTTACCCTGTTACACATTAATAACTAATAAGAAGCTTGCGGTTGATCTTATGTGCAATCAGTAATCCACATATGCAGTTCAGACAGCTTTTTCTTATTTAAAAAAATCATTACCATATTCTTCTTTAGAGTTCAGTACGCACCAAGTAAATTTACAATATATTTGGAAGTTGCTCAAATAGTGTTTTACATACTGTCCTTAAAAAAAAAAAAAAAATCTGTTCACCTGATGAAACTACGAATGCATTTCAGAACACCTTTTGTGCCATTTTAGTGAAGTGCTACCAGAAGTTTAAAAATAGTGATTTTTTTTTTTAATTTTTTTTTTTTTTCAAATCGTAATTTTGACTTGTGTAGCATTGAGAGGAGTTCAAGCAAAATGATAGCTGCCAAGAAGGCTAAGATCATCAACAGTTGGAATTAAGAAAAGTTGCTTTTGTTAAAATTTAATGGTTGCCTTAAAGAAAAGGGTAGACCATGATTCTAAAGTTCTTGTTTCTTGTTTGAGGCAGTATCTCTTTTTATGTCAAATGTAATTTGTAAAGCTTTACTTGCATAGTGAATTTTGAGGTTCAGAATGCAATACTTCTGTGTAAGACTTGTCTTCATTCACTATTCAGAATCTGTGACATAGTTTTGAGATTAATTTTAGCAGTTCAGAAAAAATTAAAAAATTCTGTACTTTTCTGACTGAATCCTTTCTTTTCTCTCCATCCTTTCATACTGGGTGATATTCAGTCACGCATTTAGTCCTTATGATTAAATATAGAGGTGAGCAAACGTAAACATTTGTTATAGTTCCTATTTTTCTGTTTCATTCTTCTGTGAAATGGAAGGTAAAGAGTCTTGATTATACTGTCTGTACAAACTGATCTGTCCTCTATGCAACACCTGTTACTTTCAGCACTGTAAATAAGCCCAGCCTATTTAACGGAGATATCTTCTGCTAAGTGTCTGGTAGCGGTGGAAAGATGAATTTGTTGGGTTGATCGAAAAGAAGAAATGGGAATTGCTATTGAAATTATGCTTTGTTTATTTTTTTCCAGATGTAATGCAACACACAGCAGTTCACAAGAAACATAATGGAAAAAGTCCTGTTGCCAAGTAGGTACTAGGATGTAATGTGACCATGCTACATTTCTGAACTTCATTTGTTAGTGCTTTGAGAGTATGTGTTTCCTTCTAGATTAAAGCTTGTTTGTGGGTTTTTTGGTTGGGGTGGGGTGTTCTTGTTTTATTTTTTGTTGTTTCAGGGGGCGTTATTAACTTAATATGTATTAGAAAAGTATTTCAAAAGATCCTATTTCTAAATCTGTATGTCTAGGTCATTTTGGAACTCTCTTTTTTCCCAAATTTTGTGTATCTTCACTACTTGAGTTGATGTTTGGATTTGTGTTTATAAGCTGAGTAACATAAATTTGTGTTCCATGTATTTTTCCCATGTGCACAACACACGCATGCATATACTGAAAATTTCCAGTGCTGTTGATTTTAAGCGTTTCTTCAGTAGCTTCAAAGGTGACTTTATACGAGAAGGTAGTCCATTCTTTCCTTTGCTTAATAGCAAAAGCATGTATAACTTGCTGGTTTACATCCATTTTAAGTGGAGGCACTTCTTAACCATGTTAAAATGGTTTATATATGCTTTCAGATATATGAAGTATGTCATGTAAATTCACCCATTAATGTGTTTGGACCAGAAACTTTGGATATGTTTGCACATAGTTGTGCAATACTTCAAGTATATTAAGAGAAAAAATGGATACAAAATTTATTGTGGTTTACAGTTTTGTTCCATGTTGTTTTATCTGTGAAATGTATTTATCTCAGAGGGGGAAAATTACCTGGGATTACAATAATTGGAATATAAACATAGCACAAAACAATGTTGGTTAAAGTTCACAGATCTTTAACAGGCAAGATTCTTGTGAAATTACCCATTGGACAACTTAGTGGTTTGTTTCTGTTTTGTGTTTTGACCCTCCTACTTACTCTTGACTTACATCTCTTCAAGAAGAGAATGTCATCCTGACAAAATCTCTGATTAGACCAGTGGATATACAGTCTACTATGAAGTTGTAAGAGCGGGATCCAAACTTACTAGCATATAGTTACTAATAAATAAAATTGTCATCTTCTTATTCATTGTATAATAAAGTATATTAAAGCTGATTGTAGTTTAGGATATATCTTTCAAGTAGGAAAGACAGGGACAGGCCTTTCCACAAACTTCCGTGATAGAAACTCCTTTTGCTAGCTATTATTTTCTGTTTATTTAAGAGGGGAAAATGTGTTTACTGCTTGACTGCTAGAGGTCTGTTCACATTATGTGTCTGTCTTCTTAAAATCTGTGCCTGCTATTTATGGGTTCTGAAGAAATGGCACTGAATGAAACTCTTCTCTTTTAAATATGTGTAAAACTGTCTAGAGTCAAGAGCAGTTCATCTCAGATAGCATTGGTACATTTTAGGAAAATTTGTACATTACATCTGTCTACCTTTTGTTTTTATTCAGTATGGCAGCCTTACTCTTGAAAAGGTCCAAAAAATTTACTGGTAGGAATGAGATCGGACATACAAAATAAAAAATCTAGTAGTATCACAGCTTACATGAAATGACTGCAAATTTGACAGCGGATTTACTTAACTCCATTCGGCAGAAGTTTCCAAAGTGACCTTGCTTATATCTCTGCAGTCCTGGGCTCATGTCTGTATTTTGGGACGTTCTTGGGTTCTCACCATTTTCTTAAACTATTTTTTTAATATTCTATCGTACATCTTTTAAGTAGTTTGAGCACTTATTTCCAGAGGTATTTGGTAAGTAGCTACTGGAACTTCAGCATGTCTTGTGCTTTGGAGTGAGCTGGATTTCTGCCATCATGGGAACCGAGTAACATTTCATATTGCAGTAACCTTCATGAAGCAGCTTGCCAATAGCCCTGAATTAAAAGGCACTTTCAATTATCAGCATAAGTATTTTGATAAGAATTTAAAAGTGTTAACTCTTTTTTTTTTTTTTGGCATCCTGTCAATAGTAGGGCATGTTTTTTTACGATAAATGAAAAGTTTATAGGTCCATGTGCCCTACTGACTCTGTCAGAACCCTGACTGTTTTTCCAGCAGTCTTTGTTGACCAGTGCTCTCAGACCTAGTTAAATATTGCTTCTGACTGCTGCTGTTTAAGAGAAGCTTCAGTGGAAGGTATTATAAGGTCCAAAGTAAGTGCCATATGCAACTCCCCTTTCCCAGCACTACTCAAACCTAGCAATCCTGGTTTCCAAGCACTACTCAAAACTAGCAATCCTGAAGGTAAAAATAAAAAGCAAAATGACTATTTTGAAAATCAAGCAAACACAGCTGCAGCATGATCTATAAGTAGCCATGCGTTCCTTTTCTTAAATGTCTCATGAATTCTGAAATAGGGATTACAAAGTAATCCAGCTTTGTCATTAACGGTAAGAAAGAAGATGAATTCAGAGTACATTTCTGTCTGGAAAATTTCCCCTGTCTGGTATGAAAAAAGCAAACAAAAAGACTTTGTGTGCGGAAATATCCATGGAAACTCTTCTCTCAAGTACTGTTTTCTACAAATTCTGTTGTTCTGAATTTTGTGTCAAATTATAGTAGACAAATCGAAAAAGGAACTCCAATTATGCTCAGATCGTTAGTACAACTTCAGAGCACAAGAACTCCTGTAATTTACATCTTCTAAATCTTTTGAGAATTTCTAGGGTTTTCTGAAAGGAAAATACCGCAGTTTCCCAACATAATGCAAAAATGTGTATGTTGGTAGGAAAAGCCTGCAAGTTTGTTCACATTGGCATAACTTTTGTTTTTTCCTTTCAGCAGCACTAGCAGTGCAAAATGTTCTTCACTGGATAGCCTTAACATGCAGCACTCTGAGCAAAATGGGGTAATGGACTGGAGAAGAAAAAGCTGTATTGTCCAGCAGCACCCAGAGCACTGTACAAACCTACTTGACCAGGTGTGTTCCTGTTTTTTCTTTAAAGCAATATTCTGAGACACTTGAGAAGACTGTCCACTACATATGATTAGATTTAGCTTAAAAAGATGAAGAGCCCTGCTAAAATTGTACAAATAAGTGTCAAAGTTCAAGTTGCTACTGACTTGCCTTTATTAGCAAAACCCTTGTAATTACTTACCACTGTCTCATAAAGTTGCATATTTTGTTTATGAATTTATAAATAAAATTTCCCAGTAGGATATAAGTAATCAGAGAAGTTTAATGTTCATTTCTAATCAGACACTTTCCTGTTACTGTAACATATTGTCATCAGAGAGAATTTCAGAACGCCTAGGGAATTTCTGTGTTATTGCAAGGAACAAACTAGAAGCTGTATTAATAACTAAACCATGTTAATGCTACAGTAGGGACAACAGGTTAAACATATTCTTTCTATTGTACCTGTATTACCTAAGTAACTTAAGTGTTAATCTTCGTTGAAAAAAGTTAATAGCTCGATTACATATAGCTCACTTTTGTGAGATTTGATAATAGCTCATTTTTTGTTAGATTTGTGTCTCTTCAATGGTCAATTTTGGTGTGAGTATAGTTGAGAAGAATGATTATAAATAAAATCATCTGCTGAAATTGGGGGAAGGAAGGTTGCTTACTGATTACATCTGAAAAACCTTGAATGTTAGATTTGCTTAATATTAGTCTTATTCTACATGCAGAATTTGGCTATTGATTATTATGTGGGGAATAGCAAGCCAGATAAAAACAGTTTCCTTATTTCACAAAGCAGGGTAATGCATTGAGATTTGCTTCTAAAGATTAAATGGTAGACTGCATCAAAGCTTGAAATATTGCAAGCTTGAGGCAAGAAAAAAATTAATATACTAAAGTAGAGGAAAAGCTACTTCCTATTTAAAGGATGTCCAAATACAACATATTTGGACAGAGATTATTTCTGAGTTTTCATAAATTTTACTCCTTTGTCAAAATATGACATATTACTAGCAGCTAGTAATAGTATACTTAAAGAGTTATGCAGATGCTGTGTTTTTTCTTATGTGCTTGTAGGTTGTGTTCTAGAGTTTAGTTCAGCCGCAACCTCCTGTTTAAGGCTGGGTACCTGCTTTGTCACTATGTAAAAATAATTTGCCACATGTACTTCCCACCCCCCAACCATCAAATAATTCCACTTAAATCAATAAATTCTGTAGCCCCTTAAGCCTTGTGATTAGCCTTTTTAGCGGGTGTGTGATGAAACACATTTGGTTTTATCCTCAAGAGGAAAGACAGCATGCAAACAATAATTTGATTGATATCTTTGGAATATTTGCAAGTAGTACTTTGCTGAGTGTTTTGCAGATAATGGCATAAACACAAGACAAGATGCATTATTCTAAAGGCTTGGGTGGACCATACAAGTAATTGTTTGCATGGTTATAGCACCTGTGAGTGCACTAGTCTTGGACTCACGGACCTGTTAGTCTAGAAGAGGGGTTTGTTGTTGGTTTTTATGATACAAATTCTGTTGTTTGACTGGCGTCTTTGTATATTCTGTCTAGCATACAGCGGAAAAACGAAGTCTGTCTACAGTAAGCAAGAAGAAAGGAAAGCCACAGCTGGAAAAGTAGGTTTCCAATGTAACCAGTAATCCAGAAACAAAGTGTAATCATTCACTCTGATAAATGGAGTCTGCAATCAATTAGGTGCTTTGTTTTGCTATTGTGGAACAAGAGCTGGCATAGTGTGAAGCCAGTCTACATAAAAATCCTTATTTTATCTTCTGAAAAGAAGTAACTTGAAAAATAGAATGTAATTGTATGCATTCATTTCTCAAAATATTAGTTGTCATTTAGCAAAAAGATGAAGGACCAGAAGTAGGTTCTTAACTGGTACTGAATTGCCTTTTTTCCCTTTATATTTGTTTGAAAGTTAAAAGGTGTAAAGCTGTCCAGAAAACACTGAAAATCAAATAAGGATTGACAGCAGCCTTTAACATTACACAGTGGGTGGTAACTTGCTGAAATATTTTATTGAAGATAATTTGCACATCAGAGGGATTCAGAACTTCCTGTGGACTACGCAATCCTGCACTGTGAGGAAGTGAAAGCATTTCCATCCTTATCTAATACTCTGCCTACTTCCAAGTTGACTTTCTGTCATTTTATTACTCTGTAGCCAGATCCTTTTATGCTAGTCTGGTGTACGGCTGCATTACACACATCAGCTTTCAGAGACGACTTCAAAATCAGCTGCACCATTTCTTTTTTTGTGTGTTTTCTTTTTTAGATCTTTATTCATAGTGTTTAGTAACACTACTTGCAGTTTAGTTCCTGGTATGTTGCACTAACAGCCTATACCTATTTGTTTATTATCTACATTTGTTGTTATAGCTATTAAATATACATTTCTGGCCTGGAGTCACTGCCTTTGTTTACAGTGGTATTATATGTTCATTCATGGTTGGTTATTTGTGCCCATGTATTTGGAAAAAAAACGATGAAAATTATTTACACAGGGAGAAAGTGAAGAAAACTGACTGCCGGTTGAATAACAGGACTAATGGAGTTAGAGTTGCAGCATCACAGCACATCCGTACAGGGACTGCAAAAGGTAATACGTTTTTTCCTAAGCTGTTTGTAAGAAATAGAATTTCCAGCTTTGCTGATTTATTTATTGTTCTGCAGTAAAGGGGAAATCACAAGTCTGAAATCTGTTTTGGTGCAAGTCAGCATGTTGGCTGTCTAGTCTGTGCTTTGACTTGCTGTATAGAACATGCTAGACTCAGTCTTCTGTATGCAGTTGCTTAGGGTATGTCTCTTTTCATGCATAACTGGAAAAATACTAGTAAAGTCTCCATTAGTTGCCTTATATGGAGTGGTAGTTGCAGAAACAGTTAATGCTGGGCTACTTCTATATGAAATTTAGCAGTCGAGTGTGTGGAGGTCCAGCATCTCGTCAGTAGTGTTCTCTTTGCAGTTCACTGGTTTCTTCAACTGTTGTGGAATGGCCCGTGAGGAACCTGTATAAAAACCCTCTGGTGCGAACCATTGATAAACTGTGGTGTAAACCAAGTGACTACTGAGCCACAACTGTGTATGCTACCCTAACAGGGTTTTCAAGTTTGGGTGATCCAGCAAAATCTAGTGTCTAGGCCAAGACTTGTGTACATCAGTCAGTTATAAGACAAAATTATATTTGTGTTCCTTAGTAAAAAGCTTTCTTACAAATTTCTGAAGGGCTACTTTACCCATTGACTTTGCCATCTTGATGTTTTCTAAGCTCCCAATATCAGTTGCTGCCTTGCCTCTCTTATACGTAGTTCTCATGACAGAAAGTTGACAAAGAATTTGCATTTTTCTATACCACCTAATTGGCGTAAGTGTTGAAAGGACTCTTACAAAGTGCCTTGTCTTGCTCTTGGGGTACAGTCTTGATTAAGCTTTCATTCTTTCTTCTCACCACTTCTCACTGGATCCCATTCTGAATTATTGTCATGTGTTTTATGGGCAGTTTTTGTTGCCTTCTACGAACAGTATTGGACTAAAATTTTAAGAATTCACAGTTCACAAACTTGGCAAAACCAGGACAATTTTAGAAAGCTATAGCTAAGGGCTGTACAAGCAGAAAACATCCTCTACCGGACAGCTTTGCTGCGTACATTTCTGATTGATTACTGTTCTCGTTGTCAGGTAAAACGCACTAAGCTTTTATGAACTGATGATAACTTTCAGAGGTGGTGCAATTTTGTGTGACGTAGTGCGAAGTTGAACAGGGAATGCTTTGCCATAAGAGTTCTGTCTGCTCACTACCCACTACTCTACAGGTGTGAAACTGCCTGTCTGATACCGTTGGCTAGTTAAGGCCACTACAAGAAGAACAGAGGCTGGAAGCAATTAAGTCCTGTTCAGAGATGAGCTTTCTGCCTGTGCATTTGTGTACAAACATCAAAATGTCTTTTGAGATACCCTGTTGGAAACATAATCTAAAGAAAAAATTTCATGTTGCAGTCTGAATCTCTGCCTAGCTTTACATATCCAGGCTTGGTTTGAAATGTGCTATTTTGAGTTAGTAACTCTTAACTGCATCATGTTTTCTTCCGTTTTTTCCTCCCTATTTTTAGCTTTTCTGAGTCATCAGTTAGTTACACTTGTAACTTTGAAGACTTGATACTTTGTGACTAGCACTTTAGACTCTTGCTTTCAGTGATGTGAGGTTGACACTGCTGCTCCAGGTTATATTAGATATTCAAAACACTTGTTAAAATAATTTGACCAGTTACAGGTTTAATCCAGGAAATTATTTCAAGAATTAAAGTGTTATGGCAGCTTTTTGATGACTTACCCCAACCTGTTGTACTTGCAATAGCAATAATAAATGAATTAATAATTTATAAATAAAATAATAATTTATTAGAATTAATAAAATAAATAATAGTGTTCTAATTTTTGTCCTGGAGTTTTGCCAACCGAGGTTTGGGGGGTTGGTGTTTCCTTGAAGCTAGTGTCTGGCATATGTTCTGAGAGAAGGTGCATCTCTCTTGCTCCTTCACCTTTGAGGCTGAACTTGAAAGCCAGAGCATACTAGCTACCTACTTGACTCCACTAACAGGATCTAAATCCACCCTGAAAGCTGGTCTCCCTGAAAGCGAATGAGTTTCCCATTCAGAGTTTAGAAAACAATTTTACACTTTTCAGCTCTTTTTCTTTAAACAGGTTTTGTTGATACAGTTTGCTTAAAGCCTGTTCCAGAAGAGT